GACGAAGGGCTAACGCCCGAAACGTGATATCTAAAGATTTATGGAGGTTTCGCCCTATTGCAAGTTCGTTCTCTTACCTCCTTTGCGAGTTCGCCCCCTGAAGTGAAACAAGTTCACACCCACTGTTCCTACCTCGCCCTTAAACCTTCCAAGATAATTTTTTATCAACCGAGTTGATGATGTAAATTGGTTATTGTAAGGCTGACGTTTCGAGCGTCAGCACTTCGTCAGAGCAAATCACTCACCATTTGCCATTCGCTCTGACGAAGGGCTAACGCCCGAAACATCAGCTTTGAAACTCTTTACTATGGCCAATTAACATTATCAACTCAGTTGATAAAAACAAATGAAATTTCTTGTTATACTTGTTGTTCTACCTCACCGAGGCAGTCCCTAAGGCAGAACGTATTCTTTTGCTGTCGAAATCATGATAGCTTTGAAAGATTTAGGGACGAACTGGTCCGAACTGATAAAGGTGGGAGCGAGCTTGTTTTTCCTCAGGTGGCGAACTTGCAGATACAGTAGGAGGCGAGCTCCCAATGCCGTCAAACTTCCGCTTAGCTCACAGCAAAAACCATTTTTAACAAATAAAAATCCTTACTTTTGCCCTCAAGAAACAACTTTACGAAGAACTCCCACGTCCCATTAAAATAACTGCCAGCATCAAAGCTTTGGATGAAGTGATAAAATGAAACAGCAACGTCCTTTGGATTTCTTGCCACGTAAATATACTTGCTTCTTTTGCTCTCTTCTTTACTCATTGGAATCACATGATAAGGAAGATGTGACTTGATTAAGCGGGGACTGGGCCGAGAAGTCACGGAGACCTTCTGCCCGTCTGACTCGTCTCCAGGCCTATCGAAGAGCTGACTTTTTTCCAAAAAGGGATAGCGACTTTCCACCCTTTCTTCGCTGATTCTTCCATCGTTGAGTATTTGCCAGACTATTTCTTGCACCCAAGTTGTTCCTGAGAAAAGATAAAGAAAGTTTAGTCCAAGGATAGATCTCGTTGTCCGCAGTTTGCATTTCTTGCACGCTTTAATTTGGTCGTATTTGGTTGTAAACATGAGCTATTCTGTCAGTTATACGTAGTGATTTGGTTTGCTGTAAAACAATTACGTTGTTTTACGTACTCTCCCTACGGACCTTTTAAGCTATGAGGTCCGTGGTTTGAATATGGCTAAACAATGTAATATATTAAAGGGCATGTAAACCCAAAAATACATGTTTTTCATATACTATGAAAAAAGTGGCATAGAAAACGAATTTGAGATTTGTTTTGTCCAATTCGACTTATATTAGGGAGAAATTCCACTTCCCGTGAAAACACTTATGAAGTAAGCGTTGGAACTAAAATATTGCGCAACACATATTCCACAGTAAGATTGGTATTGCAGCGCGTATTAGTAGCAGTAGTTTGGACGATGTTTTTTCAGAAGAGAGTGACACGAATGCCTTAAACCTAGTATATGACAGCGATGGGGATAATCCAGAATCTTTAGGAGAGTCTCAGCCACGTCCTTAACATATGAGTCGCGTAGGGTTCACCGAAGGGATTCGCACAAGGACTGTAGAGAACATGTTGACAGTGGTGTTACCGTTTCGGAAACTCAGACGGGTATTTAATTTACTGTATGATTTATTTGTATCTGACATGAAAATCCAATAAAGCAAGAGTACAATCGGAATGCAATAGAAATCTTTTTTTTCACCTGAACAAAGTTCACCAACTGTCGTTTCAAATTTGCGTCATTTGTAAATCTATGCATTGTATGCTCAGTTTTGTTTGAATCAGTACAAAACTGGACGATACAACTTTCTACCATTATGAAAACATTGAATATATTGAAGCAAACTGTTAGTAAAAACTCATGACTAGACCGGCAAACAATGGCTGTGGAGAAGACTCCTACGTGTCTCATGCGGTTATAAAACGTAACTTTGGAGGTTCCACCCCTCAGGTCACAGGAAAGATGGCGCCATTTAAGATGGCGAATGTTTCGAATTTGCAAGAGCTTTTACAAAGTGAAAATGGACTTTTCAGAAAAAAACGAATGGTACCTTTGGTGTACTTGATATATTTACTAAACATCTATGTGAAAAGAAAAACTTTGTCCCACGCTCGTGAGAAGACGAAAAAAACATCAATCTCTATTTCTTTACCGAGCTCAAAACTTACCATCTCTCTTATTTCTATCTACAAACATTATGCTATCGATATTGCTGATCCTAGCAGTATGCAGGACATGTGTCATATGTACTTCGTAACAGACCTCGCACACCGTGTAGTCTCTATGGCTTAGTGATAGAGCATTGGAGCACGGAATCCGAAGGTCTGAAGTTCGATTCCTCATGGGGACTCAGGATTATTTCTTTGTCCCACGCTCGTGAATAGACGAAAATATATCATTCTCTAAAATTAACGTTTTTAGGGTTTACATGCCCTCTAAAGTTCACACGGCAACCAAACAATTATTCAAAAATGGCATGTGTTGCGGACGTCTTATGGACAAAATTTCGTTGTTTTTTTTGTTGTCGAAATTGTCCCTATTCACAAATAAGTCAGCACTCAAAAGACAGCAGTGTAAAAGATATCGGCGACGAAGTGAAGCAAAGTGGCCAGTCGAAAGAATCGATCTATAGCCTTACCTGATTTTGGAAAACTGACCACATAGACATCGTCTGAACGGGTTTCAAAACGACTCAGATCCCTCTCAAGATCCTTACCAGTGCTGGGCGCGTTGATTGTTAATCGTACGCCACGAATAAGCACTTGTCGTGGTCCAAAGAACTCTCCTTCCTGCCCTTGGATAACTGTGAAATGTTCTGACATCATTGGTTTGTAACGTCTACACTACTGCGCAACACTTACTTATAATAACAAATGGTTTGTAATGAACAGAAATGGTCTAATTGTCTCTTCGAGAACGGTTTATCTTATCACAAGAAATTTATTTAAAATACAAATGGACAAGTCGCCTTTGGTGAAATGAAATATTCAAACAAAAATGGTTTATACAATTCAGAACTGTGTAGCACCCTTGTTGAACTGATTCAATAAAAACACGATTGGCTAAGTGTTAACTGAAAGTTGTTTACGCAATCACAAAATCATCTTCTACCTTAAATTTCTTAATTTTACGGTTAAGATCGGCCAGAACAAAGACAAGATTGATAATATAAAAATTATAATTAACCTATTGGCAGAATTGAAATTACGCTTGAAAAGATAGTTTACGATAAAATAGCCTTAGAGGATTGTTACATAACAACAGAGTAAACAGAAAATTCGAAGAAGAAAGGGCGTACCCTAGGTACCGCCACTAAGAAAACTACGTGTTATTCGCATAAGTTATATAATTACAAATTCAGTGCGTAGATGAAAAAGCATAAGCTATTTACAATCAGAGTCACCTTTAAGATGGGTGTTAATTTAAAAATTTAAGAAATATTCTGGAATCGTGAATTTGACTAAGAATTTGACTAAGAATTTGTATAAGAAGCAGGAGTGTGCGAGGTTAACTTTTACCAGAAAGATTTACAACTAGAAAATTGACATAATTAAAAACATAGCTTATCACAAAATAGTACAAGATCTAATCACCGTAGAAACGGAGCAACTGTTTCCGTACCAAATTCACAACCGCGATAAGAAAAAGGTGAAATAAATTGTACTTAGATGAGACCGCCAAAAGGAATAAATAATCAACCTGTCTTATTATAATTTTTGTATCGAATGGCTTAAAGTAATATAATATTTCCATTCTTTTTCCCAACACCAATATAAGGAAACCCTTACGATATTTCAGATTAAATATAGTTCTATCTTTATCGTTTAACATTACCATGGTCACGCCTAACCATAGTAAGAATTCTCCATTTAAAGTACAGCAGTTTTCTCTATAAACTATATATAACTATGTAGTTTTTAACTTTATAGTTTTATAGTTTTTAGGCGCCCTTTAGTTGTAGTTTCGTTGTCTTAAAGAAATAAATCGCTTTATCACGTTTTCTAGCTATGGTTCTGACTGTCTTGACTGTAAGTGTGCTGTCGCGTAAAATGATGCATTCTATCTGTATTTTTGATATTCCTTTTGTTTCAGATTTTGATATTATCTTGAGGTAGTAAAATGGAGAATTCTTACCATGGTTAGGAATAACCACGGTAAGAATTATCTATTCAAAGAACAGCAGTTTTCACGGTAAGAAACTGAAAAGAACAAAAGGACAATTTGAAACTGACTAATGGCAATTTGAACTCCCAACATGGTTAAGCCGCAACTATTAGAAACTTTACGACCTCACGATAAAATTTCTGATAGCTGCGGCTTTCCTTAATTTTAACAAACTATAACAATTGGAAATTAAAAAAACGTATGGTTTGAAACGATAAGAAAAGACTTTATTGTGAAATATAAACTTAAGTTTACTTTCATTTTTACTAACTGATTATTAAGCTACTGAAAACGGTTTCATCCGAAATATCATTCACTTACTGATATTGCGGTAAGATGACGAGGGCATAAATTTATTCGCTAACAAGCGAAAATAGGCAAACATAAAAAATGACTATTACCGGAATAAGGCTCGCTGAGTCTAGTAGACGAGGCTACAGAAATAATCTCTTCCTGTGTTGAACGTCGAGTGTACGACGTGGCGAATACCTCATTAACGCGATCGTTCTGGCGAATTTCGCGCCAAATTCGATCTGAATGACGTAAGGGTTGTTACGTAAGACTCCACATAAACTGTTTCATTTCAAGCTTGATTTGTCCATTTCACTTTTATATTTTTGGCGGTTACAGCTTAAACCAACTGCTGTAACACTAAACCATTTCGGTTTTTACTAAACCATTTGTCGTCACGCTAAACCATTTCGAGAGTAACTACATCACGGGCGACGAGCGGGGGAAGAATAGCAGTTATGAAAAATGAAATACGAGTGGTCAGCGGGGAAACAAGTTTAATAACTCATGTAGAGACATATCAATTATAGTTGCGGAAAACAAAGGTCTTGTAAAGCCGAAACGTTAACAGTGAACTCTGCTAAATGAAATGTTAAGCAATATTTCAAAAGTGCTGATTGCACATATATCTTTTACTACTGTAATAAACAATGGAGGTATCGGAAAAGGCAACGGTGGCACCCAGAAAGGCACCAAAAAGAATTATATTTACGTTTTGTAACTTGCTGTGTGGCGTTGGTGACGAAAAAACGAAAACCAAAACCGTGGCCCCCAAATAATTCTCGAATATGGATAGGGTGGAGATTTTCCTCCTTTCTCCCCAATAACCTCTTTCCCCCCCCCCCCCCCATCCCCACCCTCTACGTTTTCGTAGTCTCGTATCCAGACTCTCCATGGCCAAGCGATTGTAAAGTCCGACTTTTCAGTTGCAGTTAAATGGTAGGATCTGGGAACGAGATTAACGTTTTCGCTTTCTCTCCTCGTACAAACTTTAGGTCACTCTACCACACCCATATTACTCTTCATCCGTGCCCGCTTCACAGAAAAGAGATTGCTTTGCTTAGCTACGCAATAGCTTGAAGAATTGCAATTAAAAGCACTACATTACTAAAATGCATTTTACAAGGAATCGATTTTCAAGTTGAAAACCAATCAATGTTTGTTATTCTGTGTCAAAATGCAGTCCAGTCCCGTTCAATTTCGTCAGGAACGTTTCTTCAAATTGCTTGTTTAATTCTTCACTGAAGAGGCTCTTCCAGTCTCCAATCTGACCCTTGCGAAGGAAGTTTGGTTTTGTAGCATATGCCGAAATGACATAAGAGTTGGAGTTTATCTTCATTTCCGCAAACGTACACTGGTGGGCGATTTTGCGGATCATTTCATCTGAAAGTGGCTTCTCGAGAAATTCGCTGATTAGTCGAACGTTACCACAAAGATCCTGAAAGGTAAATGGGTTTTTATGGAAATCATTACAAGTTTAGACTTGTGCAACTACTCACTATTTATTTACAGGGGTTTACGGTTGCACAGTATTCGCTCCCTTACTGATAACAGTCTCGGATTCGCGTTATAATGGTCGGACTAGTAAAGGTTGATCTTATGTGTTTGTAGTCCAACTAAAACAAAGATGAGTAAAGCATGAAAATAGCTGACCTTCTTTAAATCTTCATATTTGAGAAATAAGACGTAAGGTTCATCTCTGTGTTTCCACCAGGGCAACACGTGATCAGACCAAAAGCCATATGAATCTGCAGGAAATTATTCAAATTTACAATCATTTCATTTGATCACAGATATCTAACGGTTTATGGAAGTTTCACCCCATTGCAAGTTCGCTCTCCTACCTTCCCTTGCGAGTTCGCCCCCTGAAGTGACACAGGTTTGCACCCACCTTTCCCAGCTCGCGCTTAGACCTTCCAAGATAATTTTTGTTATATCAACCGAGTGGTATATAAATTGGCCACCGTAAAGAGTTTCAAAGCTGACGCCCTTTGTTAGAGCAATGGCAATGGCAAATGGTTTGTCTTTTGCTCTGACGAAGGGCTAACGTGCGAAAAGTGAGCTTTGAAACTCTTTACGGTGGCCAATTTACATTATCAACTCAGTTGATAAAAACAAATAAACTTTCTTGTTATATACTACCACACCGAAGCAGCCCCACAATTTCTTTAGAAACTAAATCGTTCAACACGTTTCCTTAAGGCAGAAAGCATTGTTTTGCTGTCGAAATCATCGTACCTTTGAAAGATTTGGTGGCGAACTGATAAAGGTAGGAGCGAACTTGTTTTTCCTCAAGTGGAGAACTTGCAGATACAGTAGGAGGCGAGCTCGCAATGCTGTAAAACTTCCGCTTAGCTTACAGCGAAAACCATTTCCAACAAATAAAATCCTTACTTTTGCCCTCAAGAAACAACTTTACAAAGAACTCCCATGTCCCTTTAAAATAACTGCTAGGGCCAAAGCCTAGGACGAAGTGATAATATGAAACAGCAACGTCTCTTGGATTTCTTGCAACGTAAATATACTTGCTTCTTTTTCTCTCCTCTTTACTCTTTGGAATCACATGATAAGGAAGATGTGACTTAATTAAGCGGGGACTGGGCCGAGAAGTCACGGAGACCTTCTGCTCGTCTGACTCGTCTCCGGGCCTATCGAAGAGCTGACTTGTTTCCAAAAAGGAATAGCGACTTTCCACCCTTTCTTCGCTGATTTTTCCATCGTTGAGTATTTGCCAGACAATTTCTTGCACCCAGGTTGTTCCTGAAAAAAAGGAAAAGATAGATCTCGTTGTCCGCAGTTTGCATTTCTTGCACGTACTAATTTGGTCAGTTGTAAACATGAGCTACTCTGTCAATTATACGGAGTGATTTGGTTTGCTGTAAAAATTACGCTGGTTTACGTGCTCTCCTATGGACCTTTTAAGCTATGAGGTCACGTGGTTTAAAATGGCTAAATAGTAAGACATGGTTTGATGCATCTCTGGTTTGCAGATTTAATGAATGTAAGCGAAGAAGTTACAATCCATAGACCCAACGTTTCGACACTCCTGTCTAGTGCCTTCATCAGGGGTGATCTAAACGCTCCAACAAGAGGTTCTTTTCTATGATCGCTAATTAGCTGCCTTTTTAACTGACGAGGTGTAAATAGGCGTCAGGAAGCAAGCCGCTATCGACACGATTTAAAGGCCTCCAAACAAAGGCGCTAGTGGTAACGCCGATTAGTGGTGATAATTTTAGAATTATCCCACCCAATTGTATCGTTGGTTAGCCATGTGTGCTCCGATAAAGCAGAATTTTCCTTTTTGCAAAAGATAACCGCTTTTTGATGCTCTTTCAAACGTGTACCAAACTGACGTTTGACCTGTCCAATGTATTCGTTGTCACAGTCCTTGTAAGGAATAATATAAATGACGTCGGTTCGTTGTTCTTTCGTGACAGGATCCTTAGGTTTGGCGCAAATATGCCCCAAAGTCTAGAAAGGTTTTTGAGCAACTTTAACGTTGTGGCTTTTCAAAATTCTCTTGATGGGTTCCGTAACACCCTGAATGTAAGGAATAACAGCAAAACCAGTTGCTGGTTCCCTTTAATCAAGAGAGTTACTAGTTGTAACTGGTTTTTGGCAGTTACGGAGAAAGGCTTTTGTAGAGCCATTTGCCTTTAGGGCATAAGAAACATATTTTCTCCCCTCAGCCTTCGAATCGAGTGAAGATGGTAAACAGTTAGCCCTCCTGAGTAAAGTTTTGGCTACAGACTTTTTATGGCAAATAGGGTGGTGAGAATCGAAAGCGAGGTATTTGTCGATGTAGGTAGGTTTACAGTAGACACTTGTCTCCAAATTACCCTGAGCCCCTCTGGACACATTTAAATCAAGAAAGGGCAAATGTCTATCCTTATCACGCTCGAGGGCGGATTGGATCGACGGCTCTACTGAATTAAAATGCGATAGGAGGCGCTCCGCTTCAATTCCGAATACCGCAGAAATAACATCATCGACATATCGTTTCCAGAAAAAGGGTTTAACCGGCGAAGTGGCTAAGGCCCTTTGTTCCACGTCTCCATTACCAGGTTGGCAATGACAGCAGAGACGGGCGAACCCATAGCTGTACCAAAAACTTGTTGATAGTAGGTGTCGTTATATGCAAATAGCGTGGTTTCGAGGCATGCAAATAGCGTGGTTTCGAGGCAAAAAGACAGCAGATGAATAATATCCTCCACAGGCAAAGAAGTTCTTTGTCCTAGGGAAGCATCTTCTCTGAGTCTCTCCTCCGCAACCTTAACGGCAAGATCAACTGGGATTTTAGCGAAGAGCGAAACAACGTCGAAAGATACTAATTCTTCACAAGCGTTAAGAGTCTTATCTCTTATGAAATCCGCAAATTCGCAGGAATTTTTGACAGTGTAATCAGTATTCCGAACAACAGGCGACAAAATTTTCGCAAGATAGCCAGAAATTGCGTAAGTCGAAGAATTATCAAAAGAAACAATGGGTATCAAAGGAATTACCGGTTAATAAATTTAAGTAAACCATACAAACGTGGACATAAGCCGTCACAAAAAGGTAGCTAATTAGTGACCATATGAAAGGACCTCTTGTTTGCAGCGTTTAGATCACCCCTGATGAAGGCACAAGACAAGAGTGTCGAAACGTTGGGTCTATGAATCGTAACTTCTTCGGTTACATTCATTAAATCTGTATACCAGAGAAGCATCAAACCATGTCTTATTGTCCACCTGGTTGCCGTGTCAACTTTAATATATTTTAAATGTAAAATATATTAAAGTTCACATGGCAACCAAACAATGATTAAAAAATAGCATGTGTTGTGGACATCTTATGGACAAAATTCCGTTTTCTTTTGCCGAAATTTTCCCTAGTCATAAATAACTCAGCACTCAAAAGACTACACTGTGAAAGAAATCGGCAACAAAGAGGAGCAAACTGGCTAATCGAAAGAATTGATCTATAGCCTTATCTGATTTTGGAAAACTGACCACATAGATATCGTCTGATCGGGTTTCAAAACGACTCAAATCCCTCTGAAATATCCCTATCAATGCTGGACGCCTTCCCTGTGGTAGCCCAGTCATAAAATGCCTTTGTTTTTTTGTCGTCTTTTTTTTTTTTTTTTCCTCCGCCACAAAATGGAAAAATTGCGCAATAGTACCCAGAGGTCATTGGGCCCTCAACACCATGACAACCAACTGTGATCCAATGAGGTGTTCACATGCTGATCACGCGTGTTATCCCTCAACACCATGACAACTAACTGTGATCCAGTGAAGATGTTCACATGCTGATCACGCGTGTTATCTTGATAATGATTGACGTTGTCATGCACAGACAGGGCCAGGTCACATGACGAATCACGAGATTTTGCTTATAAAACTCTTTGGTCGGTTGTTTTGTTTTTCAACGTATTTGGATTGCGATCTCCTGGAGCATTATGGCGCAAACGCGCAAAATACTTACAGACGCATATAGAAGTCGTATTAATCGCGGCTAATCCACACTGAGAGATGTTATTGAGCGGTAATTTTGGAACGGATTGAGTCGCGAACTCTTGAAAGCCATGAAAGCCTTGAATGCCTTGTATGCTAAGTATGCCAATGTCTTAGTTGAAAAACGTTCACTTGTTGTAAAAAGCAAAATCTGAAATCTGAAACCAAACTGCATATACTCTATGCAATCTATTGAACAACAATACTACCGTGAGACTGAAGAACATAACTATAATGGATGCAAACTGCTCGTGAAGAAAGACATGTTGGATTCACTTGATGGCAAGGAACGTAGCTACGATAACAGTACGAATGGTATTAATTTCACGATCAGAAAGGTGAATCTTATCTTTGTTTTCATTGTAGTTGTATGGATATTCTTTTTTAATAAATACGTGATCCAAAACCCTGTGTTTTTTTGTGTATAATGTTATTATGTTAAATATTGTTTACGCAATTGTCTTGTCACAGGCGGCCCAAGCTCACTTCTCGAGAAAAAGCCAACGATTAATTCATGAACGCGTCACGCGTTGTGTGACTCGGTGTTAAGTTACGAGAGGAACTGCACTTTATAAGGAATAGTATAGGGAACGAAGTATGGTCGATTTACAACGATACATATTTCGAAATATGAACATTTTTCTCGTAAAATCAATAAAACTTACTCATACCCTGTGTATCCGTTGTATTTTCTGGCGATTTCTGCCGTTTTAAGTTTGCTTTACCATCACTGTTATTCACGTCATCTACTTTTATTACTTTGGTAAAATCTGTACAGACATCATACCAACCAACTCGTGCGCAAAGTAAGAAGACTATATTGAAGGCTTGAAATAATATTGATTTTCATCAAGAAATGGGCCAGGAATATTCCACGATAGTGCAAATAATCGTGAAGGCGGATCGCAGAAAAGCGATTGCGTGACGCTCGGTAAGCTGTAAGATGACATGTTATTATATACCGGACGTAAAAACTCTTCAGATTCTTAGTCTGCATTTTGTAATAACAGGTATCCGTGGCACCAATACAGTTTATTTTTGGTTACATTTATTTGCAAAACACACATAATCTACCACAAAATACCTGTGAGTGAGGTAATTCGACATTTTCGTTCTTTCCCACATTAATATTCTTCTCTCCTTTTGTAAGAATGTAGACATCACTCACAATGTTTCAAGTAATCCACCCACCCTACAAAAAAGTAACTCTTGCATGCATAGCATGCCTATGTTTTGAAATAGGTGTATGCCCTTGGCCAAACTTGAGCGCACTATTTCAATATACTAATCCGACACCCGTAGTATCACTACACTTGATTCCAAGGATCCAGTACCATCCAGGTATCCCAGTTACCCCGCTCACAGGGTCTAGTTAATCGTAAAGCTGATTCCCTCGTTCGAGCGAAGGGCTAACTATCGAAACGGCAGCTCTATAAACTCTTTACGATGGCCAATCGACATTATGAACTCAGTTGATAAAACCAAATTATTCTGTTATACCCCTCACTGACGCAGCACTAAAATTTCTATAGAAACTTACCCCTCCTGAGAAACTTAATATGGCTGCGACTGTTGTCAGTTTCACGCACTTATTCGGTCAGAAACGGAAATTGGTTTTCGTTGTACGCATTTCTTCGCTAGGTTTTAAAAATATGCGAGTTTCTCACCCATGACTGCGAAAGATTGCATGCATAATTGTTGGCTGCGTAGAGATTTTACCGCGTTAAACTTGCCACAATTAACGTGATCCAATCTCGATCTATAGCCTTACCTGATTTTGGAAAACTAACCACATAAATATCCTCTGATCGGGTTTCAAAACGACTCAAGTCCCTCTCAAAGTCTTTATCAATGTTGGGCACATAAAATGATAATCGTACGCCATGAATCAAAGCTTGTCGTGGTGCAAAGAACTCTCCTTCCTTTTCTTGAATGACTGTGAAATGTTCCGACATCGTCGGGGAGATATTACATCACTGGCGACGAGCGGAGGAAGGAAAAAAGACCGAAATACGATTGAGTGGTCAGCAGTGAAACAACTTTAATGCTTCACTAATACAGACAGATCATTGGTAGTTGCAGAAAACAAACGTGTTGTAACGCTGAAATGTCAACAGTACACTTCGTTAAATAAAATGTTAAGCAATTTTCAAAAGTGCTGTTTTTACATAAATCTTTTCCAGTTGTAATAGACAATGGAAGCATCGGAAAAGCTATCGATAGCATCCAGTAGGGTACCAAGAAGAATTCTATTTACGTTTTGCCGTTGCAACACGTTCTTAGGCCTTTCGTCACACAACAAGTTACATAACGTAAATATCATTCTTGTTGATGCCTTTCCTGGTGTCATCGATGCCTTCCCAATGCCTCCGTTGTTTAATTTCACAATGAATAATATGGTGCTAGTCAAAGCTTTTGGAAAATTGTTTAACTTTTTAATTAGTGAAGTGTAACTTACATTTCGGCCTCACAACACTATTGTTTAGTTACGAAACGTGAATAGAATTCTTCTTGGCGCCTTTCCGGATGTCACCGATGACTTTTCAGTTGCCCCTATTGTATATTACGTCAGTAAAAGATATATGTAACGTGTGCACTGTTGTGCAACACTTACGTACCCTCCTTCTTTTGTTTTTCTCGTGACCGCTGTAAAAGTAGTCACGCAACACTCTCCCTCCTTAATGCGTTGAATGAGTTCTGCCACGTCTGCCTCTCCTGACGAAGCACGAAAGGAGTGGAGGAGGGGGGGAATGATGTTCTTATTTCATGGAGCAAGGTTTCGCACTGGCCGTAATTTTATAATTTGTTATTTTATTATTTTTTTTCACGTCCTTTCCAGTAAGTCTAATCTTCTGGATTGGCCCAAGCACGTTTTCTCCTTTCTCCCACGGAAAGGTATCGAAAAAGGTACGGATAATATACATTCTGATGTTAGGGTTGATATACTCTCATTGATCGTGTGAACCCAAATTGGCTCTCGTCCACCGAAAGCGGCGAATAAAAGTCCGTCTTCATCTGTGTTCCCTTTTCCCGACTACGCTGAAGACTTGGGAGATGGTACGGATTTTGGTGAGAACGAAGGAGGGGAAGATTAGTCGTCGCTAACAGAGTATAAAGAGATGGGACTAAAGAAAGTTGACTGCCAATTAACTGTCAGTAAGAGGGGGAGGGAGGGGGGTCATAAGAATATCAAAGAGCCTTAGGGGGGGACTGGGTTGATCCTCCCAGCCCTCCCTTCCTAGGTGATAGAAAATGAACTGGTCTTTCATCTTTATCGGTATTCTGATATTCCGTCGGCTGAATTCGTAGCGAACAGTTTCGGACTGTACCCTCCAGCGTTTTACATGCCAGGAGCCTTCGTAGCTCTCAGTGGAGTTGAAGTTCTTCTCGTTCTGTTTGTAAAACAAGATCATCAAGATCCTGGAGAAGCTGCCATAGGAGGGGCACTATTGGTGGTGGAAAAATGTACTGTTGTTTGACGTCCGCGGCGAAAGATTTCTTCTCATAAGCTTTAGGGGATGGGTAGGGTGGAGATTTTCCTTCTTTCTCCCCAATAACCTCTTCCCCCCCCCCCTCCCCACCCTCTACGTTTTCGTAGTCTCGTATCCAGACTCTCCACGGCCAAGTGGTTGTAAAGTCCGACTTTTCAGTTGCAGTTAAATGGTAGGATCTGGGAACGAGATTAACGTTTTCGCTTTCTCTCCTCGTACAAACTTTAGGTCACTCTACCACACCCATATTACTCTTCATCCGTGCCCGTCTGAAGCTTCACAGAAAAGAGATTGCTTTGCTTAGCTACGCAATAGCTTGAAGAATTGCAAATAAAGGCACTACATTACTAAAATGCATTTTACAAGGAATCGATTTTCAAGTTGAAAACCAATCAATGTTCGTTATTCTGTGTCAAAATGCAGTCCTGTCCCGTTCAATTTCGTCAAGAACGTTTCTTCAAATTGCTTATTTAATTCTTCACTGAAGAGGCTCTTCCAGTCTCCAATCTGACCCTTGCGAAGCAAGTTTGGTTTTGTAGCATATGCCGAAATGACATAAGAGTTGGAGTTTTTCTTCATTTCCGCAAACGTACACTGGTGGGCGATTTTGCGGATCATTTCATCTGAAAGTGGCTTCTCGAGAAATTCGCTGATTAGTCGAACGTTACCACGAAGATCCTGAAGGTAAATGGGTTTTTATGGAAATCATTACAAGTTTAGACTTGTGCAACTACTCACTATTTATTTACAGGGGTTTACGGTTGCACAGTATTCGCTCCCTTACTTATAACAGTCTCGGATTCGCGTTATAATGGTCGGACTAGTGAAGGTTGATCTTATGTGTTTGTAGTCCAACTAAAACAAAGATGAGTAAAGCATGAAAATAGCTCACCTTCTTTAAATCTTCATATTTGAGAAATAAGACGTGAGGTTCATCTCTGTGTTTCCACCAGGGCAACACGTGATCAGACCAAAAGCCATATGAATCTGCAGGAAATGATTCAAATTTACAATCATTTCATTTGATCACAGATATCTAACGGTTTATGGAAGTTTCACCCCATTGCAAGTTCGCTCTCCTACCTTCCCTTGCGAGTTCGCCCCCTGAAGTGACACAGGCTAGGTTTGCACCTACCTTTTCCAGCTCGCCCCTAAACCTTTCAAGATAATTTTTGTTTTATCAGCCGAGTTGATAATGTAAATTGGCCACCGTAAAGAGTTTCAAAGCTGACGTTTCGCGCGTTAGCCCTTTGTCAGAGCGAATGGCAAATGGCTTTTCTTTTACTCTGACGAAGGGCTAACGCGCGAAACGTGAGCTTTGAAACTCTTTACGGTGGCCAATTTACATTTTCAACTCAGTTGATAGAAACAAATGAGTTCTCTCGTTATATACTACCACACCGAAGCAGCCCCACAATTTCTTCAGAAACTAAATCGTTCAACACGTTTTCTTGAGGCAGAACGCATTGTTTTGCTGTCGAAATCATAGTACCTTTGAAAAATTTGGTGGCGAACTGATAAAGGTGGGAACGAACTTGTTTTTCCTCGAGGGCCGAACTTGCAGAGACAGTAGGAGGCGAGCTCACAATGATGTCAAACTTCCGCTTAGCTTACAGCAAAAACCATTTCCAACGAATAAAAATCCTTACTTTTGCCCTCAAGAAACAACTTTACAAAGAACTCCCACGTCCCATTAAAGTAACTGCTAGGGCCAAAGCTTAGGACGAAGTGATAATATGAAACAGCAACGTCTCTTGGATTTCTTGCCACGTAAATATACTTGCTTCTTTTTCTCTCCTCTTTACTCATTGGAATCACATGGTAAGGAAGATGTGACCTAATTAAGCGGGGACTGGGCCGAGAAGTCACGGAGACCTTCTGCCCGTCTGACTCGTCTCTAGGCCTATCGAAAAGCTGATTTTTTTCCAAAAAGGGATGGCGACTTTCCATCCTTTCTTCGCTGATTTTTCCATCGTTGAATATTTGCCAGACAATTTCTTGCACCCAGGTTGTTCCTGAAAAAAGGAAAGAAAGTTTAGTTCAGATCTCGTTGTCTGCGGTTTGCATTTCTTGCACACACTAATTTGGTCAGTTGCAAACATGAGCTACTCTATCAATTATACGGAGTGATTTGGTTTGCTGTAAAAATTAAGCTGTTTTACCTACTCTCCCTAAGGACCTTTTAAGTTATGAGTTCACGAGTTTTAAAATGGCTAAACCATGTAAAATATATTAAAGTTCACATGGCAACCAAAAAAAATTGCGGACGTCTTGTAGACAAAATAACTTTTTTTTTTACCGAAGTTGTCCCTATTAACAATAAATCAGCACTCAATAGACTGCACTGTAAAAGAAATTGGCGACGAAGTGAAGCAAAGTGGCCTATCGAAAGGATCGATCTATAGCCTTACCTGATTTTGGAAAACTGACCACATAGATATCGTCTGAACAGGTTTCAAAACGACGCAAATCCCTCTTAATATCCTTATCAATGCTGGACGTGTTGATTGTTAATCGTAAAGCTGATTCCCTCGTTCGAGTGATGGGCTAACTTTTTGAAACGGAAGCTCTATAAACTCCTTACGATGGCCAATTTACATTATCAACTCAGTTGATAGAACCAAATTATTCTGTTATACCCCTCACTGACGCAGCACGACAATTTCTTTAGAAACTTACCCCTTCTGATAAACTTACTATGGCCGCGACTGTTGTTACCCATTTGGACCACGCGACCTTTCTACGATGTACGATCCTATAGAGGTTTGTAAGCACTCAGTCAGTTTCATGCACTTATTGATCAATTATGGAAATTGGTTTTCTTTGCACGCATTTATTTGCTCGGTTGTAAACATATGCGAGCTTCTCACCCAGGACGGCGAAAGATTACATGCATAGTTGTTGGCTGCGTAAAACTTTAACCGCGTTTAACTTGCCACAATTAACGTGATCCAATCTCAGTCTATAGCCTTACCTGATTTTGGGAAACTAACCACATAAATATCCTCTGATCGGGTTTCAAAACGACTCAAATCCCTTTGAAAGTCTTTATCAATGTTGGGTGCATAAAATGTTAATCGTACGCCATGAATCAACGCTTGTCGTGGTCCAAAGAACTCCCCTTCCTTTTCTTGAATGACTGTGAAATGTTCCGACATCGTAGGGGAGACACTACATCACTGGCGACGAGCTGAGGAAGGAAAAAAGACCGAAATACGATTGAGTGGTCAGCAGTGAAACAACTTTAATGCTTCATATACAGACAGATCATTGGTAGTTGCAGAGAACAATCGTGCTGTATACTTCACTAAATAAAATGTTAAACAATTTTCAAAAGCGTTGTTTGTACATATATCTTTTCCAGATGTAATAGACAATGGAGGCATTGGAAAAGGTATCGATGGCATCCGGAAGGGTACCAAGAAGAATTCTATTTACGTTTTGCCGTTGCAACACGTTCTCGGGCCTAAATTCAGGATAATACTGAAATGTCATCTGATCATTAATTCGCTGATATCATGAATACATGAGACGTGCTAGGAGGGAAGACTGGGTTCGGTATACTGATATATGTTGTGCAATCTGACTTGCAGAAAACAACCGTGTT